GTTAAGCTCCAAACCTGTGACTATATCTACACAATACTGGTTAAGCTCCAAACCTCGTGACTATATCTACACACTACCGATTAAGCTCCATACCTGTGACTATATCTACACACTACTGATTAAGCTCCATACCTGTGACTATATCTACACACTACTGATTAAGCTCCAAACCTGTGACTATATCTACACAATACTGGTTAAGCTCAAAACCTGCGACTATATCTATACACTACTGATTAAGCTCCAAACCTGTGACTATATCTACACACTACTGATTAAACTCCAAACCTGTGACTATATCTACACACTACTGATTAAGCTCCATACCTGTGACTATATCTACACACTACTGGTTAAGCTCCAAACCTGTGACTATATCTACACACTACCAATTAAGCTCCATACATGTTACTATATCTACACACTACTGATTAAGCTCCATACCTGTGACTATATCTACACACTACTGATTAAGCTCCAAACCTGTGACTATAGCTAAACACTACTGATTAAGCTCCAAACCTGTGACTATAGCTAAACACTACTGATTAAGTTCCATACCTGTGACTATATCTACACAATACTGGTTAAGTTCCAAACCTGTGACTATATCTACACACAACTGATTAAGCTCCAAACCTGTGACTATATCTACACAATACTGGTTAAGCTCCAAACCTGTGACTATATCTACACACTACTGATTAAGTATGGCAAGTAGTGTTCCTTGTCGATATAAACAGTGTAATATGGCAAGTAGTGTTTCTTGTCGATATAAACAGTGTAATATGGCAAGTAGTGTTTCTTGTCGATATAAACAGTGTAGTATGGCAAGTAGTGTTTCTTGTCAATATAAACAGTGTAGTATGACAAGTAGTGTTTCTTGTTGATATAAACAGTGTAGTATGGCAAGTAGTGTTTCTTGTTGATATAAACAGTGTAGTATGGCAAGTAGTGTTTCTTGTTGATATAAACAGTGTAATATGGCAAATAGTGTTTCCAGCTGTAATGTTGAATATCTTAGTACAAAAATCATGTCACAGGTTTGGAACTACACTGTTTATATGGAC